AGGCGTGTTTCTTGGGTTGAACTATACTACCAGTTAAAATACTTGCACTTATTTCTGGGACACCTTGTACAAAACAAATGTATAAAGATTGTTAGATTCTCATTTGCTCTACTGTATGCTCCACATATCTTCTTTTTTCGCAAATTCGTCAATTTGTAGCGTTTTATTTTTCTTTTTATAAAATTCCAAATTTTAATATTGCTGGCGCCATCTATTCGCTAGATGTTAAACTTCATTCAGTACAGGTAGCGGTTCCTTTCCATAAAAACAAATTTCGTTCGGAATAGACGATAGAGTTCACTTAATTGCCTTTGGTCATATGACCTGTCAATTCGAAGACTTCCGTTTTGCGAAAAGGAGGAGGTAGGCTTTTTCCGAGAGATTGAGATCAGAAAAAGACGCGTGGTTCAGCGTCCGACGAATCTCAGAGAAAAAGGGCTTTCTGAAACACTTTTCCTAACAGTAAAGGCACGGGTATCCAAAGGTGGAGATTTGAAATCCTGTAGAATATACTGTTCAGAGCCTAGTTCGTGTTTTTTTGGCCTATTCCTGGAATAAGATCACAGTAAGTGTATCTACCATTTTGTATCGCCATGTATAACTAAATTTTATTTCAGTTATTCCCGTTTTTTATTTATTTTGATAATGTTTGATTGTGCATTACTGGTTTGGATCAGCATATAGTTTGGCTATATTTTGGAATGTGTACAGCTGATTTTCAGACCGTAAGTTATTTTTTTTGGTATTCGGTGACTGTTCTGAGAGTTTTTTTATAGAGTAACTGGCGTATAAGAAATTGACGTATAAGTAATTGGCATATGAGTAACCACTTTTGAGACAGTATTTATGACTCTACATTTATTCTACTGATATCGAAGACTCCTGCTACTATCGAAGAGTCTACATCCACTTCCGTTAGTCTGGAGACTGCCTGCCTATCTGTTCACTACGTCATAAATTAAAAAAAAAATACAGATAAGTTCTAAGTTCAACACACAAGGTATTCCCTAAATTTTTTTTACTTTGAGATAATATTTTGAATATCTCTGTGAATTGTTGTCATTTATTCCATATATTATAGTCAAAATTTACCTTTTAGTTAACATTATAAGTCATGCTTTGTCCTTAACGGTACGTTTTACTTCAGTATGATCTTTTATGTGAGAATCGCTAACACGGATTCATTTTTGAAGGTTATTGTACACGATTTGTTTCGAAACATCATCGTATTGGTACTTACATAAATTTCACCTGTTTATATATTACGTAGTATAGTATACTGAAGAGAACTTTAACTAAATTTGAGTTTACTTAAAGCAACTAACGATTTCATTGGGATAATTGAAACTGGGTTTAAACTGATTGATAATTGTGTTCGTTTTTAAATAAATGTTCAACGTAGGATAGTTATATCTGACTTTTATCTTGATGAACATAATAGACCCTTATTGCTGTTGATTATTTTATTTTAGCTATTTCATGATCAAATTTTCTTACTGGTTTCTTACTTTACCTTTTCATACCCAAAGTAAGTGGCGCCCTTTTTACTGTCTTTGACCATTACTATTTGAATACTTAACATCAATTTTAGAATCTTTGCAGCCTATACCTTATTACTTTTATTTTATTATTTAACAACATTATTAAGTCACCACAGGTCACAAGTCTTACCTACGAACCCAGCTCTCCTCTAACCCTGAGCAACGGATACCTTTTTCTTTCTGTTTGAGTGATGACAGAAAAAGTCGTCACAAATTTTTTTATTGTATTCAAAACACACTAGGTTTCAGAAAATTATTTACAAATTAACAACAAATACAATACAAAACTTCATCAAAATACAATACAAAACTTCATCTCTTAATAGCATGTCGCATCATATGGATTAATTTATTAGATACTTAAAAGATTAAATTTGGAAAAGATAAAAGTTCACAGATATAAAAGTAAGGTATTAAGGTGTAAGGTGTTATCCTAGAATATATTAGTATTATATCGTCACCTGAAAACCGAAATTATAACGAGAAATAGACCAGCTTTAAACATTTAAATTATATTATGTTGTAACATTTGTTTATAGAGTTGACTGCTAGCTATTACTTGTTTCCGATAGTTCCTATCTAAGATAAATTGTACGCATTTTTCGATAGCGTAGATTTCTACATGACTGATGCTGGGGTAGGTGCACATTGGTTCAGAGTACTTAGTTTTCAATCCAAATACTCCTAGCTCTGTCCCTGCTTTGGTTTTGGAAGCATCAGTATACAACGTTATGGTATGGTCTTTTACATGCTGAGCAAACGTTTCTCTCTTCCTATCATTTTTATTGCTCAATATTACAGTGAGGTTTTCTTTTGAGGGTGTTCTAAGCTCCTGAACTGACAATTCTCCCAGTACCGTTTCCGTCAATGACCATTCTAATCATTGTCACATTGGCTTATCTACCGACGACAATGTGCAGTGGTGTTTGGTCTAGAATGACCTCTATAGCTGCTATTATGCATGTTCTCATGGCACCTGTGATGCAGAATGTAGAATGTAGAATGAAGGGGAGTAAATCACCGCGACCTTACAGATCTATTGTGTGTTCCCCTTTCTCTGAGTTATAAAGAGTTATAATTCATCATACAGTCTCAGGGCTTTAACAAACTCCAGTATCTGAGACGGCTCCACAGTGGTCAGCTGTCCATCCTCGACATGATCGGCGCACTCAGTGATAAGGTGTTCTGGTGTTTCCCTATTTTCCCCACAGAATCTGCATTCCGTTGTAAATCTGCATTCCATCCCCCAAGAATCTGCCGTTGTCAAGAAAATCCAGATAAGATACAGTGGTTCTCAAAATTTGAGCAAAAAATATTCTTTTTGGAAATTTTCAAAGTAAAACAACTCCGTTATTTTGGAGTAATTGGACAAACGATAAAGAGAAAATATGTTTCTTTTACACCGTGTATAGTCTTTTAGTTAATGTTAAATCTAGACGTAAACTACCACGTCAGCTCTAAATCTTACTATAATCTTATTAATTCAAACTTGGAAATAATTTAATTTACTAACGTTTTTTTTTCTTAATTAATTACAGGACCACCACACGGACCCCCACACCATCACGGTCCACCAGGACCACCACACCACGGACCACCGCACCATGGTCCACCACATTTTGGTGGTCCACCCCATCACGGACCCCCACACCATGGTCCCCCACACCATGGGCCACCCCATCATGGCCCACCACCACCTCCACATGGCTTGCCACCCTGCTTTCACTCATACCACACGCCCGGGTGCCATCACTGTGGGGGATGGAGGTGGTAAAAAGGACAAATAAACATTTTTTTTTATTTTGTTTATCTGATGTATTGGTGTTGATATGCAGTACTTTTGTGGTATTTTTATGTTGTAATATTTTTTACATATCCGGTTACAATTTTTTTTTGTATTATATTTTTTTTATCAGTTAATAATATAAATAGCTTAGAAACTGAATTTTATTTGTTTTTTTTTCCCAAAATAACAAAAATTTTCAGAGAGCGCAGAGTTATACTCATAAAATACTTTATTTATACCGTATAATCGAAAAAAATGACGGTAATGCATATGACTGAAATTCCCCATATAAAATGACAACGATCTTCATTTCATAGCCATCAATGATGCTATTTTTCGATCATATTGTGGAGGACGGCGCCCTAGACTTAAGCCCTACCCAGACTTAATTCTTAAGTCATTTCTAAAATCAAAATGTTATTAGATCTTAAGTCAAATTCAACATATCGTTCAAATGATTTAAGTCTTAAGTCTTTGACTTAAAGAATTTTATTTCAAGTAAGTCATTTTTGTAAAGACTTAAATAAATATAACGTAATGTAAGTTGCTTTTATGACTTAAGTCTATATATTTGACTTAAATCATGATTATCTGCAAGTTAAGTCAGTAAAATGACTTAAATCAACAGAATTGCCCTCAAGGGAAGACGATCAGAATTCAATTTAGGTACCTTTTCTAATGTTAATATTAATGGTCTTGTATTACCAATTAGCGATTTTCGAATGTAATACCACAAGATGTTTCGGGATTACCGAATAATACTTTTACCTGACACGAAATGCGTTACCCTCCTTCGTAGTCGTAGTGTTGCCGGTATCGCATTGAGTGTCAAAAGTATTAGCTAATCCCGAAACATCGAGTTGTAGTCAAAAGATTATACAACGAAATAAAGTAAATATATTTTGCCATTTTGTAATAAGAATTGACGGAATATTTTGTGGAACTGACAGAAATCACTTCTGAATTAATATTTCAAAAAATGACAATTACAATATATATTAATCACATCCTTCTATACAGGGTGCTACAAATTCGAGGTACGAGTAATAGATACGAACATGGTTAAATTGGGGCAAAGTTGCACCTTGGGATGTTCACCAAGATGCCATTAAAAAAGTTTTAAAAATTTCAAGGATTGCTAAGTTTTTTGGAAAAACGGATTTTTTTGAAAATAAATTTTATTTTTTCCTGTCGTTACTTTTAAGAAAATAAAAAAAACTAATTGCACAGTCTCATAGCCACTTTATAAGGGCTATCTGATAGTATTTTTAGATTTTTAAATTAGCTGATAATTTGTGAGATACAGAGGCCAACTTTTTTTTTTTTAAATCCGGACCTGCATTTTTTATTCAGATTTTGAAAGAACTCGTCTTCTTGAGTACAATGATAAGCCACACTTTAATATTTTTTTGTTTCGGACATTTGAACACAATTAATTATACTAATTTCGAGTCCAGCTCTGTTTTTTTTAATATTTAATCTATTTATCGTTACAATATTGATAAGCTTTCAAACTTAACATTGACGTGGGGTAAAACTTTGAATATGGAAAATCAAATGCAATAAAATAATAAAAAATAATATACAAATGAATACATTACTTCACGTCATTTGTAAAAGTGAAATCAATACATCTCAACATTTACAATAAAGAGTACAAAATGCTTTCGGAAGTATAAGAAGAAAGTTCAAAGGGCTATAAATAAAATTGAACGAAAAATAAATGTGTGCAATATAGGGAGGGTGGTAACCCTTTCGAACATTTAGAGCATTGGAAACTAGTTTGTAGAAGTTGATTTATTTATAATAAATACGCTGAATATTACGCATATTATTAGATCGCACACTAAGATTTCAAATTCACAATAAAAAAAGTCAAAAATAATATCTTTAAATTGCTGACCTGGATATAATTTATTTGAATCTTTCAGTTGGATGGATTTTCCTTATTCAATGTTAATTAGGGCTGATCAATATTGTTGCGTTGAATATAATCAGAATAAATAATTAAAAAAATCAGAGTCGTACTTGAAATTATTTTAAATAGTAATTAAATAGTTTTTTGTTGTTAAGGGACCTAAAACAAAAAAAAAGTATAAAGTGTGGCATATCATTGTACTCAGGATACCGAGTTCTTTCAAAACCGGAAATAAAAATTGTAGGTCCGTATTTAAAAAAAATAAGTTGGCCTCTGTATCTCACAAATTATCAGATAATTTGAAAATCTAAAAATACTATCAGATAGCCCTTATAAAGTGGCTATGAGAATGTGCAATTAGTTTTTTGCTTTTCTTAAAAGTAACGACAGGAAAAAATAAAATTAATTTTCAAAAAATCCGTTTTATCCAAAAAACTCGGCAATCCTTAAAATTATTTTTAAAACTTTTTTGATGGCATCTTGGTGAACATCAAAAAGCGCAACTTTACCCCAATTTAACCAAGTTCGTATCTATTACGGTTACCGAGATACCAATGCTCGTACCTCGAATTTGTAGCACGAGTTGTATAATCATAATAAGTATCATATTATTAATTTATTGTAAGTACAGATGAGACTAAAACCACAAACTACAAACACAAAAAAATGTTTTTTTTTATAAAATTTAACCGATTTTTTAGTACTTTATATGCATCCATTACAGTTTAAATGTCACCGAATGTCTATTAAGAAATGGTGGTATGGTTTGATCACTATGTAATATGTCGATGTCATAAGCTAAGGGGCTGGAGGATTTTAAGGTAATCTTCAATATAAATAATAAATAAATAAATAAATTTTATTGCCATTAAAATACAATTTATGTACATTGGTTCGTCAGCTAGTTAAACATAGATTAGACATAAACAAAATCAAATCAAACACATAAAAAATGTTACATTACAAAACATTACAAAATTTCAAAAACACGCCAAATCAGTATAGTAAAAATAACAGTATATATGTAAAAAACATTTTTATATGTAACTAGCGAATGATTTAAACTCGTCAATAGAGTAAAACCCATTCCCCAGCAGGTATACCTTTGCTGCGGCAGCATATTTGTTGCCTCTCAATGAGCGCAACTTTAAAGGTAAGGAGTTGTAGAGGCTGACGCAGTTATAATAGGGTGAATATTCAAAATAAGTTGTCTTATGTTGTGGAACCATAAGCATTTCACTGTCCCGTGTATTGTGCAACCTTGCAGTACAGAGTTTTTTAAATATGGCTCTATAATCATTCACGTAAAGTAGACATTTTAAAATATAAATCGAGGGAAAAGTCAAAATTTTTCTGCTGACAAAGATATCCCTGCAGCTCTCACGAACACCAATATTAAAAATAAGTCTAATAATTCGCTTTTGTATAATAAAGACTCGATTAAATTTAAAAGCAGCCTTTCCCCAGCATAGGATATTACCCGCCATGTGACTATACGCAAGTGAATAATATACCGATATGAGACCATGTATGTCTTAAGCTTAATATAGCAAAATATGCTGAATTTAATTTAGCGCATACATGGTCTATTTGCGCATTAAACGACATTCGCGGATCAATAAACAAACCCAGAAATTTTGTTTTGTTTGACAGTTCTATATCAAGTTCATTCTGGAATTGGTCCGGAATAATTTTCCTGTTAATAATTCCCATATAAACTGTTTTTTCTATATTTAATATAAGGTTATTATTTTTGCACCATAACGTCATTTTTTCACAAACATTTAATGTCGTTTGTGTATGTTCTTCTACAGTGTCAGCTGCTACAACAATAGATGTATCATCTGCTTACATTGTTAAATGACCAGATTGGATTTCATTGGATAAATCATTCACATACAGAACAAAGAGTAAGGGACCCAATACCGATCCCTGAGGCACTCCAAGCTCTACCTGTGTAGCTGTAGATTTTGTCCCTCCATATTTTATAATCATTTCTCTATCTGTTACGTATGACATAATCCAATTCAATATTGTTCCACGTATGCCCATATTGTATAGCTTTTTAATCAATAAATTTTTATCTATAGTGTCAAATGCTATAGACAAGTCAAAAAAAATTGTTGCGACATATTTACCCATGTCTATATTTTCATATATATAATTAAGTGAACGGAATGTAGCTGTCTCAACAGACCTTCCTGGAAGAAAACCATTTTGTGAAATTAACAATATATTGTACCGTTCAAGAAAGCCTATTAATTTGTCATAAACAATTCTTTCCAAAATTTTTGAAAATATACTATCGTGCGATAATTTTCAATGTCAAGGCGATCATTTTTTTTATAAACTGGAATAACGTATGCAGTCTTAAGTATCTGTGGAAAAACACCCTCCATAATACTTCGGTTAATTAATACAGTGAGAATGTCTAGAATGTAAAGTGTAATCTGTTTTACCAATTTTATATTTAGGTCATCAAATCCGGCAGAGTTTTTGTTCCTAAATCCCGTAACTGTTTTTAATACTTCATCCCTTGTAATAAAATCAATAACCATGGTGTTGCATGCATATGCGGGTAACGTACCTATAGTATTGCTATCATTATACTTTTTATACTTATATTCGAGATAATTTTTTTTCATTCGTCTTATGGGCTACATATTTTTTTCTATTTCGGAATAGAGATTTAAATCACAAAAAATTTTGAAAAAGATTTAAATTTTAAGTCTTAAGTCAGTTTTTGCAAAATGACTTAAAATCAAATGACTTAAGTCATTAAAATGATTTAAATAAAAAAAAGACTTAAGTTTTCTGTGAACTTGCTGCTCTGGCGGTGATGAACCTCCCTCTCACTCATTCTACATTCTGTACCTTCCTTTGGGGAATTTTCTTTTGTACCACTTAAACAGTGAAAAAAATACATCAGTTGCTGTAAATGGATGGGCTAAGAGGATGGGCTAATGGATGGGCTAATGGATGGGCTAAATGGATGGGCTAATTAATACTTTTAAGACTATAGGGCGGTATGGGTAAAATAAAACAGACGATCCTGAAAAACTAATTAATATAATTTAGTTAGATTTTTCATTATTTAAAACATTTTAAATTTTTTATTGTAAATATTAAACTCATATTACATCATTTACAAGACATTGCATTGAACTGAATTTTAATAAATTCTTTAAAATCACATAATAACTCATTCCCATCTCCAACCATCGCACTGCGGACATCCTGGAGCTCTCCACTGATGACTACAAGGCGGGCAGCCCCATGGTGGTAAATGGTCGCCTGGTGGAGGAGGCCCAGGTGGAGGTGGATATGGATGTGGGTGGGGTGGCGGATACGGACCCGGATGGAATCCCGGAGCTACACTGAAAGCTGGATCAAAATCAGGAGGAGGTGGAGGATAATGTCCCGGTGGAGGTGGAAATCCCGGATGCGGTGGGGGTCCTGGAGGTGGTGGACCTAAGTGGGGAGGTCCAGGAGGATGCCAAGGTTCCATGACCTAAAAAAAATAAGAAAGATAAAGTTAATTTACCTTCAAAGTAGCAGAGAAATTTTCTTTGGCATAAATCTGTTATGTCGGACTTATTACGTCAAACAAATACCCATTGTCTTTGCACAATACACCAAAACACTTTACTTTTGCACAGGACGCGCGTTTACGTATGTGTACGTCTGAACGAGGCGTGCAAATTTGTTTGAAACGATATGCATTCGGCCGCGACCCGATCCAACTGTTGTCGGTACATCAAAGTGAGGCATCGCTGCTCATCTGTGCTCAGTGTGGATGGAAATAATAAAAATTCATTTCGAGGCAGTCCACGTGTTGTTGTTTTGGAGTAGTAGTGTACGTCTTCGTATATTTTAATAATAATATTATTTTTTTAAATGCAACATTGCAATGGTCTCAGCAAATTGTGCTAGGGCTTGAAGAATATCAAAAAAGGGAGATATTATGGAAACCAAGACTTTTAATAAACTACTTAAAATTATAAAATACGCAGCACGTTCAGCGTCATCAGAATCTGAATCGGCCATATTTATGCATTACCTACTACTACTACACAAGAAAATGCTCACCACATTTATGGATCGATTCCGTACAACGCTTCGTGCGTCCACTATTCAGGTCACCCAAAAATATATTTCTTCCCGAGGCCGAACCGAATCCGAGGCAAATGGTTCGGCATCGGATTGCCTCATTCGCGCTCGTGCTCATATGCGTACCCGTTTTAAGATCATCAATTTGCACGTCCAAACGCACGTCCATTGCAAAAGTAAAGTGTTTTGGCGTATTGTGGTGAATTAGTGTTTTAAATTGCTGTTGTTACACCAAAGGTTTTAACACCCAACTGTCTCAGATGCAAAAAAAACGCAACGGAGAATTTTTTGGTCAAATTTAAAGTGTTATATTTTTGTTATTTTTAGGCCTATTTTCATGATTTTTTAGCAAGCTGTATATGTTATACATCAACTTTAATTTGTAAACTAAGTTTTTTATAAACTTATGTATTGGCCATATTATACAGGGTTAATTGGGGGGTTGTTTTTTTTACCCTAACTTTAAAACTCCCTGTTCAATGATTTCGTCTGTAAATTTTCCTAAAATATAATTTTACGATGAGAACCATGACTCCTGAGCATTTTGTTTTTTGATTCATGTCAATACATGTTTTAGTTAATTATTAAGAGCGAAATGAACTGATCACGATCAATTTGCTATTTTCTCAATTATCATTACTTTTTGATGTACTTTTTTATGTATCTTGTATGTGGCTATTATCGTAACGTCGCATCACGCCGCTTTGGATACTCTATACTAAATTAAAAAAAGACGTTAAAGGCTAAAGAGCCAGTCCTGGTTTTAATAAACATTAATAACGATAACAGGACTAACAATAGAATAAATCATCTGTAATACTCAAGTATACAAACAGAAAAAAAATTGTAAAAAATATCCTAATACTTTATATTGCCCTCCCTTGGCTGCTATAATTGCCTGTATACGTCCGTTCATACTGTCATTGAGGCTGCATATATCATATTGCAATATGTTGTCCCATTCTTCTTGAAGGTCTAAGCGAAGTTCATTTAATGAAGCTGGTAGCCGCTTCGTGATCTTTAACAGTCCTGCCAAGCATTTCCCAAGGGTCGAACATGATAGAGGGTTCAAAAAAAATAAGAATAAAGAAATAATAATTGAAAAAATTACAAATTTTTATTGGCAAGTTCATTCCGCTCTTAAAAATTAACCAAAGCTTGTATTGACATGATCTAAAAAACAAAATGCTCAGGAGACATGGTTCTGACCGTAAAATTATATTTTAGGAAAATTTAGGGTTACCAGACGTCCGGATTACACTACGTCCGGTTGAGTCCTGACGGTTTTTTCATAAGCGTCCGGATTTTGTTGTTGCATAGCCTCGCCACAGAAAGTATAATTTTTACTCCTAATAAAACAATATACTATTTTTGCTCTTATTTCGCTAAAAATTTATGACGTCCGGATTTTGTCTGGATTTTTCGGAAGGCTTGCCCAGGGTGGATAAGTTTTGATTTGGTAACCCTAGGAAAATTTATACACGAAATTATTGCACAGGTTGTTTTAAATTTGAGGTAGAAAAACAACCCCTCGATTAACTCTGTATAATATACCAAATACTAAAGTTTATAAAAAACTGAGTTTACGAATTAAAGTTGATATAATTATACAGCTTGCTAAAAAAATTCATGAAAATAGGGCAAAAAATAACAAAAATATACATACATACATACTGCCATTACTCGCTGACGAGTATTTGACACACATCAAGAAGATCATTGCGCAAGGCGTTTTCTTTCATGAGCTTTTCTGTGACTGAAAAGCCCGATACGCGATTTTATCTCTCTTCTGCACTCCGGACATTCAAAAATCTCATTATCCTAAATCTCTTTGTTGCCTCTTTCCGCGTTTTGGTAATAATAATAATCACCAAAGCACAAGCGCAACAAAAATATAAATTTTAAATTCGACCAAAAATGTTTCCATTTTTTTGCATCTGAGTGTACATTGTCTTTATTGAGGGATATAAATATTCGATAGAAATTTAATTCCACAGAATTAACCAAATTCATAGAGTAAAACCATACTGTATCAAGAATTGTGTATTTTATGTAAGATTATTACACGAACAGAAGTTGACCATGCAGCGACTAAAGAGCCTGGTTTTTGTTATAATCATAAAAAAGTTCTAGTATTAGATTATTAAATCCCTCGTAACTCATCTGTCTTTTCAAAAAGCATTGTCAACTTTTCAAAAAGTTAGGGCAAAAATAGGGCATTCTTATACAAAATCACTCTGTATCATAGAAATTAAAGGTGCCATGACAATAATTGCATCCTTGGTTTCGGAAAAGGAAAATTGTAGCTCAGGTTTGCACGTACTGCATTGCAAGATTCTATTTTTTTTAATAAGCCAAAAAATGACCAATTGCAAACAAAATAAGACACTGTCCAAGCTCTCTTAGTTCCTGAAATACAGTGCGAATTTGAAATCGTTACATCTCTTTTTTTATTTTGTTAGTGCCTTGAACTTTCTAAAAATATAATAAAATCTATACTTATTTTCTTAGATAAGATGAATAAATTATTTAACTTCTTAACATAAACACACCTAAAGAGAAATTAAAAAAACTTTGGGTGCACGTCATCAATGACACCATGCGTCGTCTTATGGAGTTTACTGGTGGTCGTATTATGATGTTCAACCAAAGTTATTTTAATTTCCCTATAGTTTAAAAGAGTATTATTATTTTATTTAATTAAATATTATTTAACTTTCCATCGTATCTTAATAAACTGCAGTGAAAATGAGAGACACACAGAGATATTTTTATTTTTTATGCACTTGAGCAATAATTTAACATACAGAAACTAGCGTGGAATAGGTAATAACCAAAATTTGATTTCGAATCAGTTATTCGATTATTTTGATTATCTAATTTAAACCGGTCGCTTTTACAGGGTGTTCCAGAAATAAGTGCAAGTATTTTAAGTGGTGGTAGATCTCGATAAAAGAAACATATTTTCTCTGTATCGTATTTCAAATAAGTCCAAAATAACGAAGTTATTTTACATTGAAAACTTGAAATTGAAAAAGAAATGATTTTATGCTAAAATTTTGAGAAAAACTGAATCTTTTCTGGATTTTCTTTCTTGTAAATTTAATCTAATACTCATGTTGTCATATTATCATCATTATTTAACTAAAAACTAAAAAAAATCCAAAACATTTTTCAAAAAACTTCGATTTTTTTTTCGCGGAAAATACGTCATGGGCGTTTTTCTGGGGTTGAACTATACTAACTGTTAAAATACTTGCGCTTATTTCTAGGACACCCTGTATTAAAAAGATAAATAATGCATTTTTTTACCTTGTTTATAAAAATAAGTATACAGTATGTCCCTGTAATATATATAATAATCTTCTGTAAGTATACAGGATTGTCTTTACAAGAGAAAAAACTTTTTTATTATTCACATTTGAGAAAAATGCATTTTTCATAAAAATTTTGCTTGTTATAAAATGGTTAATTTCGTTTATACTTTTCCAAATTTCCATACCGTTTTAGAGAAAATCTATCTATAAAGTCTTAAAAATGAAAATGCGTTTCTATGGTAATATAACTTCGTTTTCATTCTTTGATAGATTGTAATCTATGATTGTTATTCATAGAATTTTAATTAACGTAATATTTTTTGTTGTTTTAAAATGTTAAGGAAGCACAAGGGTATGGAAATTTGTAAGAGTATAAACGGGATAACCATTTTAGAACCAAACATCTAAATGGAGAATGCATTTATTTCAAAATATCAATAATAAAATTTTTTTTTTCATCTTGTAAAGACAATCCGGGGACATTGTAGAATATATTATATTTTTAGAAAGCTCATAGCAAGAGAAATAAAATAAAAAAAAATAATATACCGGATATTCCGTTAAAAAAAAAGTTTCGGTTATATTTCAAGAATGACAGCTTCCAACGAAAATCTAGTTAGCCACTGAATTCTACGTGAAAAACTCTATGGGACTCAATTTTAAGTTTTTATATAAGTTATAAGATAATCGAAATACGAAGAAAGTAAAAAAATGCAACAATTTCGAATTCGCCCTGTATTTCAAGAACTAAGAGTGCTAGGACAAATGTATGTCATCTATGTGAAGCATCTGTAGTTTCATAAAAAAGTTGGAAAGTGATTTTAAAACCACACCGTTCTTTCTCTACTCATAATCGAGAAATCTCATAAAACACACGAAAATGGGACACACTGTACAAGGTGGGTCAAATTCGACGCTTTTAAATGGAAACACCCTTTTCTATAGTAGATAGACAAAACTAATATCGGTGTCTGGAGCTCAATTTTTGTGAAAAACATGATGGTGAAAACCGCATATCGATATCTGTTACCGTTTCGGAGTTACGGTTTGTCAAAAAAATGCATTTTTAACAAATCGCTGTAACTTTTTTGCTATGGAAAATTTTGTATTTTTATGAAAACATTTCCAAAGCACCTTTTTACGTAGAATTTAATGGTTTAAGTATAATTTTTTAAAAATTAATAATTTAAGAATTATCAACAGAAAATTTGATTTTTTATATGGGACACCCTGTATATTTTTAATTTATTGAAAATAATTTCTTTTTAGTTAATTAAAAATATAGAGGGTGTCCCAAATAAAAAATTAATTTTTCTGTTGATAACTCTTAAATAGATATATAAGAGCTATATATATATATATATATATATATATATATATATATATATATATATATATATATATATATATATATATATATATATATATATATATATATATATATATATATATATATATATATATATATATATATATATATATATATATATATATATATATATATATATATATATATATATATATATATATATATATATATATATATATATATATATATATAGATAAATTATTACTTTTAATTTTTTTTACTTAAACCATTAAATTCTAGGTAAAAAGGTGCTTTGGAAATGTTTTCATAGAAATACAAAATTTTCCATAGTAAAAAAGTTACAGCGATTTATTAAAAATGCACATTTTTGAAAAACACCCCGTAACTCCGAAACGGTAACAGATATTGATGTGCGGTTTTCACCATCCTGTTATTGATGAAAATTGAGCTCCAGACACCGATATTAGTTTTCGTCTATCTCCTATAGAAGAGGGTGTTTCCATTTAAAAGCGTCGAATTTGACCCACCCTGTACACCAAAAAATATTTTTTTTCTATTTCTTCATTTTCTATTTTTTTTAATTTAGTATAGTCATAGCAGATTATACAAATAATTTTACTTACCAGTACGTAGGCAATTTAAATATTACTTCTAGAGGTATATATTTAATTATCTTCTGATTTTTTTTAGATAAACTGATACTTGGAGCACCTTTATATGAAAGCTGTTTGCAACAAACTGATAATAGGTTTTTATTTTCTGTTTATTGACACCTAAAGTCGGTCCCGTGTTATACTTAATATATAATCTTTTAGGTGATGAGTAACGCATACCAATTATCATGTGACAAAATATATTAAAGTCAAACAATATTAAAATAATATAGGATATAGAATAGTGTTTTGTAGTTTGGTAATCAGTAATTATTATATGTATATTGAAATTAGAGAAGAAATAAATATACAGGGCGAGTGTTAAATAAGTGCAAATATTTTTAGGGCTAGTATACCGCGTGTTTCTCAAAAGTGGCTAACTTTTACAACTATTTTATTTTTCCATATTAAAAAACGAGAATTGGTACGTTGGTATATAACATAAATCAGGATTGATTGACGCATTCAGTTGTTTTCGATCATTTTCTGTTTCACAGGAAATGACTACAACTTTTGATTTTTAAATAACACCCTCGGTATTTTTCTACTTTATTCGATAGGAAATGACACCCTGAATAGAACGACTTGGCATTTTTGCATATAGTTTATTTGAAATTGTAACATGCGGTTTATAACGACAATTTGACTTGAAATACCAAATGTGTGGTACCAAATTGTTCGTAAAAAATACTTTTTCCAAATACATATGTAATGAGCTACTCTTGTTTCATTTGAAAAAAAGGAGATATGATTAAAAATACGAATTGGGCATATTTTAAACGGCCTAGAAAAAAAACGAAAAACATTAGACGATCAAATCTACCTTTCCAAGAGTCGTTGAATAAAAATTAGTGTGTTTTTCTATTGAGTTTTACTTTATTTATTTTATTATGTATTAATTATATTTAATCAACAATTTTTAAAATGTGAATATTCTAATCATAAATTCGATAACACCGGTATGGCATACCAAATGTCAAAAGACGGTCTTCATCTCGAAAAACAGTTATTAGATAACAATCACCAAACCATGAACTAAGATTAAACCTCTGACTAAATATATAATAATTTCTGGTTATAAATTAATAGTCACTTCAACTAGAACACACGTCACCTGTCGAAATAAATTACGTACTGTAATAAAGCATCAAAAACATTTTTCAGAAGACGACAAGAAATACGTAATCCGTTATTTTGATAGAAGCACGCATGTCGGCTTAAAAATATTCAAAGTGCAAAAAGTACTTATTTGAAGAACTTGATTTGATAAAATTTAATCCATTTTAAAAACCTATCTCTAAAAATCTAAGAGCTCTAAGCCTTGTACAGGGTGGTCGAAATTGGTCTGTTTTAACAAGGAAATCCTATTTCCTGACTAGATAGAGCAAAACCGACGTAGATGCCATGGGCTCGATTTCTGAGACACGTTTAATGGCATAAACCGCCTGTTGATATTTTCACTGCCAACTGAGATACGGGGTCTTTTTTATTTTTTTACCATTTTGAAAATTGCCCATAACTTTCTTAATTCGCGGAATAATAAAATTCTGTAAAGACGTTCTTAAGGCACTTTTTTAAGCACAATCCAGTGGCGTAGTCAGTCTTTTTCTATACTTGCTCTTTTTGTCAGAAATAATAAAAAATATAATTATTTAAATGAAAATCATAGTTGGCTACAAACTTAAAAAAATGCTGATGTTTAACCCTTTGCAACGATATAAAGTTATGGGTATTTATTTATAACAATGAGAGAAATATTAGGGTTTTTTATCTTTGTATCGAAGCGGGCCTTGATTTTGTGTTGACCTAGTTGCCTAATTATTTTTTTTGCAATTTCATATTCTATATTATTATTTATCTGCAAAGTTAAAGACTTTAGAAAAGATAAATATTCTATATTATAGCCTAAGAGCTGACGACATATTTAGAGAACATATTTTAGGCAAGCTAGAATAACTAAAAATGTATAGTTTATTAACTGCTGAACCCAAAATCCTAAGTCTGGCTGGGGGGTTGGGGGTATTTCGCTACTGCGCAACCCATAATATTTGCAAGAAAATTAATCCAAAAAACATTCTTTACGCAACTTGAAATTTGTTTATTCCCAAATTTTAGCATTTATTTAACCTAGAAATAAGTATGCCAGACTTTTTTTTCGGGTTTAAAGTGTAACCCGACCATTCAAAATATGTTTAATTATTATACCTGGAAAATATACTTTAGGCATTCTAAAATTTTTACAGCCTGTTTATTAGATGATATTAAAAAATAAGTGTTAATTGCCAGACGAATTCAATGGGATTTAATACTTACCGGACGCGAATAAAGATTTTAAATGAGCGCGATAAGAAAGTCTTATGAGTATCTATAAGCGCGAGAAAGATAGTTTATAGAGACCCGTCGCGCGTCGGCAGCCGATGCAGCTGACGTAACAACATTTTGGAGTCGTAAAAACTTAAAAAAAAACTAACTAATATTGAATAAATAAAAAGGAAACATTTTTTAATAAAAATGTATGATTGAAATCCTTTCAATAAGAAGACTTTTTAATTTAAGTGTTTTGTATCTGAAAGAATAAAAAGACGAATAATTATTTAAAAATTAGCATATTATAAAATTTATTTTTTTCAAACGTCACAAAAGTATAATTATTATTATACTTTTGTGACATATTATATTATTATTAATTTTTGCGACCTGATTGACAATATAAAAAAGTCATTTTAACGCCTAAGCATAAAAGTAAAGCACTTTTACTTACTTTTGAATCTATTTAGAAAGATTAACAATGGTACTTTAATAAAATTCCAGAATAGTTATTTTTTAGCACTGTACATGGTACCCTTTTGTCGGGACTACGTTTTCTGGTAAAACCACTTCTTTAAATTTTAAACCATGTTGTTGGCGCACTTTTAAAAATTCTTTGCATTTTTGTAGTCTGCCTTCATCAAAAACAATAACTTTGTCACTAGTAACTTTTTTACAAACTACACAACTTAAATGTTTTTTATCCATTGTGATTTAGTAGTTAGTAGCGAAATTAGTAGTTACTAAAATATTTATTTGCAGTGATTATTCTTAACTATGGAGGGCTTAAAAAAGGAGATTTATCGGCAATGGGCAAATTTGAAATTTCTGTCCCCACTTTTAAGCAGCTTCCTCGGTTTGACAGCAGAGGCACTGCGATCGACTGGGATACTACATTTTCATTGTTAGTATACGATTTAATTGTGTTTTTAATAAAATTTATAGTTAATTTACTGAATTTTTAGCAGTACAACAATGAGTCGTGGTAGAAATTGCTTTGTACCTGGCTGTACAAGTGGGAATCCCAATAAAAACAAGGCAAATAAAGAACGGGGTGAAAGAAACCCAAGCCTTTTCAAAGCTCCTAATGTAAGTAGTATGACTATTTATTTATAAAAATTATGGATAGATGTTAAGAAAAACATTAAAATTATATACTGTCAGTGTACAGATTAAATTATAAACCAAATTAATAGGAAATATAGCCTAAAATCAACATGTGTATAACATAACCTAGGAGGCCTTGTTATAAAATTAAAATAATTTAATACTTACTAGGTGCTAAAATTACCTGTTGACATGTACCTATATTAACCACAGTTTGAACAGTGCTATTGAAAGTGAATATTAAATATTTATACTTCAAGATCGTATTCTCAAAATAACAGCTTTAATAGTGAAAAATGTTTTTTTTTTATTTTATTTAACAATTATATATCTTTTATTAGGATCCTAGCTTGCTACAGCAGTGGCAAAAGGCGATACCCAGATCAGACAAGACACTTAGCAGCAAAGATGCTGTTTGTGAACTACATTTTCTAGATGAAGATATTTTGACTCATTATGAGATCAAATTAACTGACGGAACTATCAGTAGAATTGAGCGGGGTAGACCATTATTAAAGGAGGGTTCAATTCCAAGAATTTTTCCTAACCTGCCTTCATATTTCTCTAGTAATAAAAGAAAGAGGAAACCACCATGTGTAAGGAGTGAAGCAACTGAAAAAGTTTCTAATTCAAAAAAAGTAAAAGGTCTGCCTATTAATCATGTTGAAAATCAAACTTCAGAACCTAACTTTGAGAATGAGAATGAAATTCTTCGTGATATTACTAATGTGCCAGTTGATGTTACAGACAGTAGAGTTACTATGTTCACAAATTTGAAAAATAGTTTGCATATGTCAGATTGTAAATTATTATAAAAATTATTTAGATTTTTGACTAGCCGTCGCAAGACGCTTTTTCATTGAGGAATAATAAGAAATAATTTGAAAATTATTGTATTGTGGTTGATACTTTTGATTGTGTATATAAACCATTTAGAATAGTTTTTATGAATATGAATAAGCTCTTTAAATTAATATGTAGGTATATTGTAGCTAGGTATTTTTTTAGAATGCATTTTTTTTAAATTGTAATTTTTTGTGTTCTTGATATAATATGATGTTCCTGTTTTATTTTTTGGCATAGTACATATAGATATTTAATATCTAAGTGCTAAATTGTATATTAAATTTATATATTGTATATTTTATTTATTAAATTTAGTGGAATTAGTTAATAGAAACAAAAGTTGTAATGTATTAATATTGCTAAATAAATATTTATATGATGAAATAAGTCAGCGTATATACATATTCACAACTCTGTATTTTTGTGCTTTTGAAATAAACTGAGTACATTATTTATTCATTAATATTTTATTTACAAACCTACCTTATATTAATAAAGTGAATATCAATAGAAAAACCTTTACAATTATTAGGTGACATTGAATATAATATATCTTGAATTTAATTGTCTACGAAACAGTGACAATTTGCAAAACTTTGCTAATGACATTAAAACTTACAATTCAACGCTAGAAAAAACGCTATTGAACACAGGAAACGTTTCAGCTCAATATACCTACTCTCTAGTTTCAGCTATAAAAAGTTATGGAATAGATAACACCGATCAAAGGGTGCAATGGTAACGTTCGTCTTCAGTTTCCATTTATGATTAAGTTATTCCTGATAAAATACTCTTAATTTTCGTTATTCAATCTGTCAATCGCCATAAAACCACTACTAGTTCGAAAGATTTTAATGTTTATTAAAATGGTATCACACTAAACTGCATGTAAACATGTCAATTTCAAATGTTTTAATGAAAAACTATGAACCTTTAAACTGCATCAACAAAACTATTAATAAAACACTAACACAATCACACCATAAACTATTTCATTCGCATTTCTCATCAAGAAACAATTACTGTTTACATCAAATCAAAGGTTGAACTGGTGATAAATTTGTTGCTGGAACTTCTATCTTTTTTGTACAACAGTTCTAGGGAAGATTTATTTTAGCAGCTTATATGTTTCTTCGGTCGTGTATGCACTAAAAAGAACCACATAATAAAACATTTTTATAATATCAACTTAGGAAAAGGATATATTAAACCGGCATCTAATATAACCTAACTAACTTTTCAAACTCAAATTTAAGGTTTTGTATTCACAATTTTAGCCACGCACATTGCTCAATTAGAAAAACCACGTTTCTAAAAGCTAACTCTGGTAAAAATATGCCCAAATATTAACTTGGCTCTATAATTTATAACAAAATAGTTATTCTTGCCATAAGAAGCTGTGTATTTCTAGTATCCCAATCATCACAAGCGCCCCTAACGGCGATTTTCGAACTTCATTTAGATCTCAAAAACTGGGCCCATAATTTTTGCGTTCGATTCGCCTCCTCCTTTTAGACTCCATATTCTTAACTATTTACATGGCAACTTAATTCCAACAAAATAATCTCTGAATTAAAAGCCTGCAAATAATTGAAATGAAACCGAAAAAAAATTGTTTTTATGAAAATTTGAAGTACTCCAAAATACAGTTACTGGCTGCCGACGGGTCTCAATAAACTATCTTTCTCGCGCTTATAGATACTCATAAGACTTTCTTATCGCGCTCATTTAAAATCTTTATTCGCGTCTGGCAAGTATTAAATCCCATTGAATTCGTCTGGCAATTAACACATATTTTTTAATATCATCTAATAAACACGCTGTGAAAATTTTAGAATGCCTAAAGTATGTTTTCCAGGTATAATAATTAAACATATTTGGAATGGTCGGGTTACACTTTAAACCCGAAAAAAAAGTCTGGCATACTTATTTCTGGGTTAAATAGATGCTAAAATTTAAGAATAAACAAATTTTAAATTGCCTAAAGAATGTTTTTTGGATTTATTTTTTTGCAAATGTTATGGGTTGCGCAGTAGCGAAATACCCCCAACCTCCCAACCAGACTTAGGATTCTGGGTTCACAAGTTATTAAACTTTATTTTTTTTTGTTATTCTAACTTGCCTAAAATATGTTCTCTAAATATGTCGCCAGCTCTCCGGCTATTAGTTTTACCAATTACAATTAAAACGCCATTAAATGAAGAATTTAGAGAGAATCGGATTGGAACAAGGGACCCCATATGTTGGCCTGCTAGGTCCTGTGATTTAACTTCTTTCTAATTTTTTATGGGGAATTAAAAGACCTTATATATAAGGGAAGAACCATTGAGACGAGAGAAAAATTGCAGAAGGCTACTAGGCAAGCTTTTGGACTTACACCAGTTCGCCTAATAAATCTCTGTAACTCTGTGCGCAAAAGATGTTATTATGTATTCAACAAGGAGGTGCTCAGTTTGAACATCTTAGATAATTTTTTTTTAGAAAACTATATTCGTCACTAAAAAATACGGTTTTTAGCTTTGTTCTTTGTTCATTGTATCGATTTCAATTGTAATTACTAAAACTAATATAGAATGTTAATTTACCTTTTCAAAAGTCTCTAATTATGCAGATAAATAATAATATCGAATATTAAATTGCGATAGAAAATAATTAGACAACTAGGTCAACACAAAATCAAGGCACACTTCGATACAAAGATAAAAAACCTAATATTTCTCTCATTCTTAGAAATAGGTACCCATAACTTTATATTGTTCGAAATGGTTAAACGTCAGCATTTTTTTAAGTTCATAGCCAACTATGATTTCCATTTAAAAATTATATTTTTTATTATTTCTGACAAAAAGAGCAAGCATATAAAAAACTCACTGCGCCATTGGATTGTGCTTAAAAAGTGCCTTAAGAACGTCTTTACAGAATTTTATTATTCCACGAATTAAAAAAGTTATGGGCAATTTTCAAAATGGTAAAAAAATCAAAAAGGCCCCGTAGCTCAGTTGGCAGTGAAAATATCAACAGGCAGTTTATGCTATTAAACGTGTCTCAGAAATCGAGCCCATGACATCTATGTCGGTTTTGCTCTATCTAGTCAGGAAATAGGTTTTCCCTGTTAGAACAGACCAATTTCGACCACCCCGTACAATGTAGAATGTATGGGAGGGGGGTTAATCAATCACCGCGACCTTACAAATCTATTGTGTGTTACACAGTCTCAGAAGTTTGACAAAAGGCAGTATCTGAGACGGCTTCAGAGAAGCTAGTTCGCCATCTCCGATATCAGTTGTAGCAAAGTTTATGGCACTTATAATAGTTGTAGTCTCGGCGCACTCATTGATGAGGTGTCCTGGTATTTCCCCAGTTTCCCCACATAATCTGCATTCACCGTTGTTTCTTACCTCCAATTTACTGAGGTATTCGTTGAAGAGACAGTGTCCTGTTAAAAACCCTGTAACAATCCGCAGATTGTTCTTACTTAGGTCAAGGAACACCTTTGGAGTTCAGACTCAAGCCGTTTATAATAATATGCACAAACTGAGTAAACTTAATAAACGGATGGCTCAAGATCGTCGGAAGACGTAGGAGATGAAATAGTACCTAGATATAAAAGGGAAATAATGAATAGCTTTTCCTGTAAGCCTATCCAAAGATGTCACAATCTTTCAGGCGGTAATAGCAACAAACTATTATCCTCTAGAAGATGCCACTAAGTTGCCACTTTCGCAGGTAAAAGGAGTGCTAAGGGCACTCGCTTCTAGACTAGGGTGAGCGTAGCAATGTTAGGTTGCGCTGGGTACGGGGGCACAATGGTTTTAAAGGTAACGAAAAAGTAGATGAAATGGGCAAACATGGCTCATCAATGCCATTCATAGGTCCAGAACGTTTCTGCGGCGCTGCAAATGCAGTAACAAGAATGGCAACAACAATGGGTGGACAATAAATCTCTAGAATGGTGGTGACCACCAGGGTAGAGATAGACAAAAAGTTTATAGTAATCGCTAAAATTTTTGGCAGATCTGATAAGTATAATATACAGGAAGAGGGTCAAAGCTTTAGATGTTCTTCTAAGTTATCTGTGTTATAATGTTATCTGTGTTATAAGCTTAATAGGCATCTAAAACTGATGAAATTGACGTACGAAGCTATATATGTGCAAATTCTATCACTTTGAAGAAGAAACTTTATAGGCCAGTCAATTTGGAGGTTGAGGTGGAAAAAATTAGTAACCAACCGATCTCAACGGGAATGTGTAGATAATGATCTCCTGTTTAACTCCCCAATAGTCCCATTCGGTCCCAGTGGGGGGAAGTTTGAAAAAAACCGCCGCCATCCTGGATTTTTTCGTTTTTTTCAAATATCTCCGTTTGCATAACTTTTTTCGAAAACACTAAAAATACGTTTTTTGTAGAGAATTAAATTTAAAATATTTTTTCTTCAATCACTTTTTTCCTAAATAAATTTTTTACTATACGTTTTATAAATTTTCCAGTTTTTTTAAACCAATGAGCTATAATTTTTGCGTTAACAGTATATAGTATTAATATAGATAAACCAAGTATAAATTTAAGCATTAAAACAATTAAAAATAACGTTTAAATACAAAGTTTAAATATTATTTATTAAATAAAATTATTGCTAAAAAATTATTATTAAATTAAAGTTATTAAATAAAATCCGCTATAAAGTCATCCTGAGCGTCATTTTCTTCCTCAACTTAAATACAAAAGTTTGTGCAACTGATTCCCGTAGCATTGACCACACTTTAAAGTGAACATTTGAAACATTTAAGACCTAGTTTTCTACAAGAGCAATCTTTAGAGCACTGACTCTCTTTGCAATTATTGCAAAATATTAATTTTAGTAGGTCAGAAGGCGCGACATCTTCTTTTGATTGAATAGGTGTCAGATTGCCCTTTTGAACTTTTTTCCATCCATATTGTAAAGGATCTAACTTGTTACCAATCCAGGGGCGCATATACGGGAGGGGTAATGGGGGTAATTACCCCTCCCAGAAAGAAATTTATAAGTAAGCTAGAATGTGGTCTAAAATAAAATTGCGACAAAAGAAATTAATAAGAACCATTTAAAATAAAAAATTCAGACCCATCAAAGTTATTTTTTTTTCATAGTCACAATACATTTCAGTAAATTTAATTTAAATGTAGTAAGAGTAAGGCTAGTACTTTACTTAATACTGCCACTACTCCTGCCAGAGTCAGTCTCTAGATGCGCCACTGTACCAATCCATTCTTGAATCTAAAAAATACAACTTATAACATTTTCTATAATAGATATATCTTTATAGTTACCTGAAAGTATGGCGTGAATAAATGGAGTTATGCAGAGTTCTCAGTTTGAGGCAAATTACCTAAATTAAAGGTAGTCTTGAGGGCTTGTCTTGATGTAATCCTATTGTATAGAGTGTATCTTAGATGGTTAATATGTTTAATATAGCTTGGGCAGTTAAAAGATTGGTGGCTTTAAAAGATAATTTAATCCTGATTGAAACAAGTCATGTTTGTTGGATTTTTTTCTAAAAATACGTCGAGGTATTGGAAAAGATCGTCATCTTTTTTAGTACCGACAGGCACATTTTTGACTGGTTTCAGTCAGGATTAAATTATCTCTTAAAGCTGTATCACTGCCCAAGCTATATTAAACATATGAACCATCTGAGAATCCCTTAAGACTACCTTTAATTTAGCTAATTTGCCTCCAACTGAGAACTCTGCAAAATTCCATTTACTTAGGACATACTTTCAGGTAAAGATATATGTTGTGTTTTAATGCTTAAATTTATACTTGGTTTATCTATATTAACACTATACTGTTAACGCAAAAATTATAGCTGATTGGTGTAATAAAAAATGGAAAATTTATAAAACGTATAGTAAAAAATTGCTCTATCTCGATTACTATTTATTTTAGAAAAAAAGTGTCTGAAAGAAAAAATATTCTAAATTCAATTATCTACAAAAAACATATCTTTACTTTTTTCGAAAAAAGTTATGCAAACGGAGATATTTGAAAAAAACGAGAAAATCCAAGATGGCGGCGGTTTTTTTCAAACTTCCCCCAGTGGGGACCGAATGGGACTTTTGAGAGGTTAAAGAGGAGAGCATTATATACATAATCCCGTTGAGATTGGTTGGTTACTATCTTTTTCTTGTTTCCACCTTTACATATAATACGTTTACTGGCCTATTATAATGTGAGTCCGACAGCCTGGCAAATATGGAGGAGGATAATGTATATACATGATGGTGATGATGGGGATGAATTATCTCATGAACAATTTTACCTAAAATATAAAAAAATATTGTTTTTTAATTTATCATCTAATCACTGGGAAATACATATACAGGGTGGCCAATAAGTATAGATTTGTGACATAAATTTTAAAGAAAAAGCCCCAAAAACATTTTGATCTAAAGGTATTTTGTATTAGACAATGATAAGTAATTATTGACCAAGAGCTATACAGGGTGTCAAAAAATAGTGTATCTAACTTCGGTGGGTGATTCTACAGATAAAAACAAAAAGTTCCTATGAACATATGTCAAAAAATGCTTCCCGAAGAACTTACAGCCCTCGAAAGGTTAAATAAAGATAATATATTTTGTTTATTTTTAAGAACATTGGTAAACCGTCGAATCATTGATACTCTTACACACATTTTAATTCCAAGGCGAATGGTGATAGTGTAAAAGTTCGTAACAGCCCTGAAGGGGTATTTTGGTTTGGGTAGAGAGTACTACTGGTGGTACTTATTTTATCCTTATAGACACAGTAATTTCAATAAATGATACCTATAAAAAGCTAGAACTTTTTTACGTAAAGCAAGTGATTTTCGTTTAGTTCGAAAAGGTGAACGGTTTTTAAGATATTTGCGTTTACAGATTGCGATGCATCGTTTCTCGTATTTGTGAAATCATAAAATGTAAAGAAAGTTTAAATAAATTAATCTCCTGATTTACCTGATTTAGCTAATGCTAAATCGATGCATCCGAATTTTTAAACGCAAGTATCTTGAAAACCGTTCACTGTTTCGAACTAAATAAAGAGCAACTTCTTTACATAAAAGAGTCCTAGCTTTAATTTTCATTTATTGAAATTACTGTATCTGTAAGGATAAAAGAAGTCCCACCAGTAGTAAAAAATCTAATATAATTTAATATGCACAAAGGCACGCCGGGGAACAATAAAACTAAAATAACTTTCATCTTAATATCAATTTATTAATGTAGTCTAAAGCACTTCTTAAATTAAATTAATACTAAAATCGTTTATTTTATAAACTAAAAAAATAAAAATTATAAAATTAAAAAATAAATGATATTTGATTTACTTGATAAACAATAAAATTTACATAAACTAGGTACCGTATGAACGAATAAAAACGGCTACAGCCATGGCTATGAAATGAAGATCGCTGTCATTTTATACGTAAATTTAAATGGGAAATGTCATCGATGTTCATTTCATAACCATCGCTGACGCCGTTTTTATTCGATCATACGGTTTTTATAATTAACATTTACATTATAACCTCCTACTATACCCTACCAAGCCCATCCGTAGCAATGCCCACAACCCCACTGGTAGTAATTGTGATTGCACGGTGGTGAACGTCTAAAATGTGATCTGTACAACGGAGGTGGAGGTGGTGGTACTGGTGCATGGTGGAAGTGGTGTGGTGGTGGTGGTCCATAGTGACCAAAATGTGGTGGGGGTGGTGGTGGTAACCCATAATAAGGAGGGGGTGGCGGGGGATAATGTCCATGATGGTGATGATGCGGATGAATTATTTCATGAACAATTTCACCTAAAATATAAGAAAATGTTGTTTTTTTATTTATCATCGAATTAACGGGAAATATATAGGGTAGCCAGTAAGCAGCCCAACCCGCTAACCCTGGTGGTCTGAATGGGGTCTAAATTATAAGGAAATGTATGTATAATAAATGTAATATCGTATAATACAATTTGATAAACAATTAAATTTTGCATCTGATTCTCGTAAAATACACAGGGTGCTCTATTTAAATTAACCAAGTTATTGCCGTTTAAACTAGTAATTATTTAATATAAAGTTTACTAATAAAAATAATACTACCTTATACAGATAAGATAGTATTATTTTTATTATTGCAATACAATATCTGATCAATAGATAAATGTCAGTAAATATTTAGTATTGAAACCTTTGATACTCTTGGAGAAATGAAGCCTTAAATTTTTTACTGCATCTATTTTTGAAAACTATTTTGAAAATATTTCAAAAACGGTAAGGTTTAAGTCTAATATACCTTAATCAAATTTACCTTTATTTCAATCGTAGAATCTAAAAATAGATAATATACAGAGTGTTCCATTTAGAAAAATAAAACTATATTATTTTTTACTTATTTGGGACACTCTGTATCTTGTAAGAATATTTTTAAATTTCCGTTCTAATAGTCCTTCAACGAACCCAAAACTTACAATTTGTAAAAAGCTAATCGTTTAGCTACAATACTCCGGATATGGTGAACAGCTGAACAACCCTGTATACCTGAAGCAGCATATCATGCGTATATGGAATGCGTATTAAGGTTGATCCTCACTATACCTTCCGTTTCCATTGCTACCTTCCGTTTCGTATTTTTTATTGTATTGACGCTATACGTAAGCTTCCGTTCCGCATCAGTTCCATACTTTTTGTTGTACAATTTATATCATTACGAAAGTTTTATTTCAAAAATTTGTATTTTTTGAAAAAGGTAATAGATTTAATTAAGAGGTGAAAGAATAAATAAATATCAGGAAAATTTTAACAGAGCTGGTACAAATGTAAGAACTTGACAACGCTGTTTCCGATACGCTTCAGTCCGTCCGCCAAAAAAAATTATGGAACGGAAGGAAAACTGAACGGATACTGTACATTGTCCTATTCATTTACATGATATTATATTTTTTAAGGGAAACGGAAGGGAGCTGATATGGAAGGTATCACTATATATAGAATCAACCTTCATTGAGAACCGGGGATTGGTAATGATATAAAAAAAAATGTTATTTAAAATATAATTTGTGTACCAAATGTCTCCCCCTTTCAGGGGAAAGTAATTACCTCAGAGTAAGGTAATTTACCTCCTGTGCACCGACTTGTATATGCGCCTGACTTGAATTGAAAGGTCTTAAGTCAACTTAAATTAAATTGTGAACATTGTTATATTACCTAAAATAGTCCTAGGAGGTCTGTCGCACATCGTAACTTTTATTTTAGATATTCTGATGCTCCGTTAATTTCACAGGAAACCGATATCAGGAAACCACTATGTCAAATGGCGTTCAATATTGAAACAATTAATACGTTGTTGATTCGCTTTATCTAAATTGTTATCTACACTGGAAAGATATTGGTTAATAGAATTGTCAGGATTCATTGGAAAAGTATGTAAAGTGAGTCATGTAAAAATAAATAATTATTGAATTCAAGAGGTGTATTTATTGGCACCTATTAAGCACGATTTCTATTTGTATGATTCCTAGAGTGTTCGTAATATAATTTTATTCTATGACAATTCTAAATTAAAAACTAACTAAACTTAAAATCTAAATGTCCTATAATTGTTCAGAGATGTTAAAAGCGTTAAAATTCAAGACAAAATGTCATTTGGTAGCTTTGATAAAATAGAACTTCTAGAGAAAAACTCGAATCTCTTATACATTCCTTTTATGGTTGGGTGTAACTTACAGGAAAACAGAGGCATCCATGTCACTTTACTGTGAACTTTTAGGCAAGTTTATTTTAACCTGGAGAATCATAACCTAAGCAAGTATTTGTTCATACGTGTTTCCTCTGAACGGATCTATTACTCACTTTTGACTAGCGCCTCCGCCCACTAGTGATGTAAAAATTCTAAGTAATCGTTACAAAGTAACAGTTACTTTACGAGGACTCGAAGTAACGTTTACTATTTGAATTTAGGACTCGTTACTCGTTACTCAGCTAATTAGTTACTTTTGCGCCGGCAGTAATCGTAATCCCTGGAAATGCACGAACCGAGGACTCGAAACTCGATACTGAAATATTCCTTACTTCGACTAAGAATATATAAACAAGGCTTCGACGGAGGTCTAATTGTTATCAATATGTTTATGTTTGATTAAAAATGGATTCACGTTAGTCACAAAAAATGTTAACATCTGAAAAAGCAAAGCAGATATTTTTCTTCTTCAAAAGAGAATAGATATTTCGCCACTTACACTGTAAGAAAATCTACAAAATAAAAATAGTAATTTTTAGTAAACACTGCTGGGGGGGGGGGGCGTTAATCCAAAGGACTTTTTTGAAGAGATGAATCCGCCACAGAGGAATACACATTTTTTTAATATTTTTACATTTTAACAAAAATATATACTTTTTTTATGTTTACTCTTTAATGTTTGCCTATTTATTAATGTAATACAAAGAGAGAGAGAGAGAGAGAGAGAGAGAGAGTATAAAAAAATACTTTATATTTATTATACACATATTTTCTTTGTTTGATATGTTTTCTTTTATTTTTAATTTTATTAATAGTACATAGTTTTATTTAACATATCATTATAAAAATATTATGCATATTATTAAAAACATATTATTCAGTACTTGAATACCGAGTATTGAAATTATCCTATTAAGCCCTTACACTAGAAGAAAGTAGAAACCCCTTATAGATTAAACCGAGCATGCAACGAAGATCGCCGCGCAAAATAAGTAACAAAGTTCCACGTCAAGCCCAAGTCTTCCAATCTATACACAAAACAACGATTATAAAGTAACGAAAAACGTAACGTAACGTAAACGTAAGTAAGTACCAAAGTAACGAGTAACTAAAGTAACTAAAGTAACGAGTCCAAAATAACGAGTCCTATTACCAAAAGTAACTAGTAGTTACGAGTCCATAAAAGTAACTAAAGTTTACATCACTATCCAAAAAAATCCTTATGGGTTTTTCGCCACTGCACTGCAAGAAAAATCTACAAAATAAAATAGTTATTTTTTGTAAACACTTCTGGGCGTTAAACCTAAACGGACGCTGCTTGTCAGAAGTTGTGTTTACAGTAATAAAAATTTGCCTAACAAAAAAAACCATAAGGATTTTTTTGGATAGATGAATCCAAAAATTAATAATTAATAATCTGCACATAAAAAAAACCATAAGGATTTTTTTGGATAGATGAATCCGCCACACAGGTATAGACATTTTTTACATCACTACCGCCCACCGATCACCTGCTATCTGTAGAATTATTTACATAGATTTTAAAGGGTATTTTAGTCAGTGGCGTTAGCCTAAAAATATTTCAGTGCCGGACACCAGCACCAAATTTGGCACACGCTTTCTAGAGATAATAAGGCTTCAAAAATTGCCGGGAGACAATCTCTCGCATCTCCGGATCATCCTTTGATGACATCATCAAAATGGCGGACCAAATTTTTAGCATGAAATTGGATTATCACTTGTAACTTTGTTAATATTTAACCGATTTTAAGTTTTAATAGCTCATTTTAAAGCTTGAATAATTTGCTAAAAAATCTACATTCAGTTTTTTTGTAGGAAGGGTAGTTTTCACGCATCCCTTAAAATTGGAATAAATAAATTAAATATGACGGTTTTATTCTAAACAAATAGAAACGTTAAAACAACAAAACAAAACAATTGTTTATTACGAATACTACTCTTAATTGAAATGTTTTGTCTCTGAAATGTTACACATTTGTTTTCATAAGCAAAATAATAAAACTTTTTTTTTGAAGAAACAAAATGTACATAAAATAAATATTTTTTAAATATTTATTTTTTCTACCCTCCCCTTACTTAAGTATTTTCTTTTTTTGTTCTTGTCCACCCCTCAAACCTATATACACCTAAAAATTTATCAAAATGTGTAATGTATACCCATTTAAAGTATTTTCCTAAAAATGACTTCGGAAGATATATTTCTCAAGCTAAAAATAACTTTTGCGAAAACGTTATGTTTGCAAAAAAGGATTCGCCTAGTTTCATTTACAGTTTCCGCAGTGCTAGTTGAATGATACATAAGTACCACAAATCTTTGAAGAATCATAAAAGCTTTCTCTATATAGTCTCGGTGTAGGGTATGTTCTGAAATTTAAGAAAAGCTTCATCTACCCTGTCTATATGACATCCATGTTTTCCATGCTGTAGTTTTGCCGATTTCCCCAAAACCTGAAACAGTATCTGCCCCCGAAAAAGCATGAAAGAAGGGAAGCAAGTTTGAAACACCAAGTGAAAGTTTTTGCTGAATTTGGTGAATTTGAAGAGACTGTAGATTTTCCCGTTCCATATTCTACCCATAACTGTCGTCAATGGGGGAGGGGGGAGTGCAAAAAATAGTTAAAATTAAGAGCAGTATACGTAATCAACAATTTTTTTGTTTTGTTGTTTTAATGTTTGAATTTGTTTAGAATAAAACCGACATTTTTCATATATTAATTCCAATTTTAAGGGATGCGTGAAAACTACCCCTCCTACAAAAAAACTGAATATAGTTTTTTTAGCAAATTATTCAAGCTTTAAAATAAGCTATTAAATTAGGTTTAAAATCGGTTAAAGATTAACAAAGTTACAAGTGATAATTCAATTTCATGCTAAAAATTTTGTCCGCCATTTTGATGACGTCATCAAAGGATGATCTGGACATTGTCTGGACAGAGATTGTCTCCCGGCAATTTTTGAAGCCCTATTATGTGTAGAAGCTGTGTGCCAAATTTGGTGCTGGTGTCCAGCACTGAAATATTTTGGTGCTTTTTAATGTCAACGTCACTGACCATTTAACATTGAGCCAGTTATAACGAAGTTTCCTACAAACTTTTACCCCTAATTACGATACATCACTTTCCAAATATGTATTAATTCTTCCTTCTCAATGTTCAGCTACGTCATTTTTTTGTTACGTAATTTTGTGCTAAATTTTATAATTCTAGGCAAAATATAAGAAATGTTCATATAATTTTTCAAACCTAATATCACATCCGAGGGCATGAATTTCCAAAAATTGTTTCTTATACTGCTCAGTTACATACTATTTAAAAACATTTTTGCAAAATTTCATTCTTCTAGACCAGATAGTAACTTCCATACAAACAAACACAGGTAACATATAATATTCTGTTTGTGATACAAAGTAAAATAGTAGTATTAACGAATGACTAGAGAAGCTGAACAAATTAGCCAAAGGAAAAATTCATCCTACTCTGGGTGCCCGCTCACCAAGGGATGGAAAAGGAGCGAACACTGCACTAACTAGACCAGAACCGTTCTGCTTTCCAAGCGGAAACCAGCTTAAAACGTAACTGAACAACCTAGAGGACTCCATCCGTAACCTAGAATGGGAATCCTCCAACGGTCTCGAAAAAGTTCCAGTTTCTAACAGGGCACTGCCTCCTCAACGAACGCCTCAGTAGATTGAAGCTGAGAAACAATGGCGAATGCAGATTCAAGGGGGAAAATGGAGAAACATCACTGAGAAAACAAACCTTATCACTGAGTGCGCCGAGACGACGAACGTTCGTGCCATGAACTTTGATACGGCTGATGTCGAGGATGGAGAACTGGCCTCTGTGGAGTCGTCTCAGATACTGGCTTTTGTCAAAGCCCTGAAACTGTATGATGAGTTATAACCTGTTATAATTCAAGAGAGGGGAACACACAATAGATCTGTAAGGTCGCGGTGATTAACCCCTCTCATAAAAATTCTACAAAATAGTAGTAATTTTCATGAAAATTTTCACCCTTAATTTTACCCTCTTTGGAAATGAATTGTGAAAAATCGCTTGTTAATACTTAATTACATCACTTGGAATTTGTATGTGACATTTCTTACTAAAAACCTGCTGAAAAAAAAATCAACAATACCTGAATACCTACATACTTGATTTTCAATATTTTTTATAAAAATGTTCACTCTTTTAGGGAATAAATTTCTAAAAGATTGCTTCTTAATACCCTCTTACATCATTCAGGGGACCTCTGTGCAAAATTTTATACCCTTTGTATAAGGTTACCAAACCTCCGGACTAATCCAGACATGTCCGGATTTTCACTACATCCGGTTGGGTCCGGGCGGATTTTTCATAAGCGTCCGGATTTTATAAAAAATCGTCGACAAATTGAACAGTGTAAATTCATTGTTTTACTTCGTAAGTTTTGAAAGTTATAAATGCTTTTTTTTTCAAACGTCACAAAAGTATTAATTTTTGCGACATGATTGACAACATAAAAAAGTTATTTTAACGCTTAGGCCAAAGTAAATTTTACCTAGACATAAAATTAAGCACTTTTACGCCTAAGCACAAAAGCACGAAAATATATTATTGAACAGTCATACAGTGTCAAATTCAACGAGCGTAACCATAGTTTCTCGATATATAATTACTTATTACAAGGTATTATTTTGAAATCTTTTTATATTGTTTGGAACGTTTGAAATTATTTAAAAAATTATTTGTGAGTTAAAAAAAATAGCATATTCTACTCGGAGTAAAAATAATTTTTGTGCCTCACCTGTATATCAAACGTACAGCCTCGCCACAAAAAGTATCATTTTAGTTCTAATAAAACAATATACTATTTTTGCTCTTATATCGCTAAGAACAATGACGTCCGGATATTGTGCGGATTTTTGGGAAGCTTGCCCGGGGTGGACAAGTTTTCTTCTGGTAACCCTACCCTTGAACAGATTTTAATTAATTAATTAAGATTATAATAATAATAAACAACGCTTTATTGTACAAAAAGCCAAAATAGCTTCATCGACAAAGCATTTACAAAACAAAAAAGCACAAAAATAAATATACAAATAATAGAAAAATGTCATACAATATAAATCAATTCAAAAAAATTTACGTCATTAAAATTACAAATAAAACATATATGAACATTGTAGAACACAGGCGTATCTAGAAAATTTTACAAAAGGAAAATTGTAAATGGATAAAATCATATTATATATCATAAAATCAAGAGTTATAAAATATTAAATATTATATACTAGACCTTTAACCAGTGTGTGAGATGATCAAAATTTAAAATTCAAAATTGTTCATGATTAAACATCAACAAAAATGTTGTTTACTGCATATAGAGCTCTTTCCAGTAAGTATGATATCAGAGCTTTGCGAAATGCGGGAACGGGAAAGAATGAAAGTGACTTTATATTCAAAGGCAAATGATTGTACATTTTCTTAGCATTGTACAGTATTGAGCCCTTAACTAGTTCTGAGCTCGGGGTTGGCAAATAAATACTATCGTGAATTCAAAAATGAATAAGGAAGGAAGAGTCAGTATTTTTTTGGTATTTTGAAATGTTTAAAGAAATTCTGGCAGTGAGTTCTACTGTTCAGTCCCAATAAGTATCGAACTACTCTCTTTTGAAGTTTGAAAATTCGATCAAATTTTGTCGCGCAGTAAGTACCCCAAAATGGAAGGGCATAACGAAGATGCGACTCAAAAAGGGCATAATAGACCATTCTAGAGGTTGATGAGTTAAGTTCCTTAGAAACTGATCTTAGCGCAAAACAGGCAGCGCTTAGTTTCTTTGATAAAGCTTCGATGTGCAAGTCCCATTTTAACGAGTTGTCTACAAAAAGTCCTAAGAATTTCACAGAGTCCACGACGTCAATAGTGGTGTTATTAAGTACAAAAGGTTGTATAGTACTTTTATATGACAGAACTTTAGTTTATGACAGGTTGAGGCATAGGAGATTAGAATCGCACCAAGATTTAATGGTGCGTAAGTCACTGGATATAGTAGGTATTATATAGTGCCGTAACACCTGGGCCGCTCCAAGTGAAACTAGTAATAGTAGTAGATTTTAATTCTAATTTCTCTTTTTCATTTCCCAGGACGCCAATCTCCCAACTCCGTCCATTGAAAGAACATTAGCCGCCCATAAACGCGAGGGATTTTTAAGCGATCAGTCCTGCATTCCGTATCCGCCGACCCCCGTTCAGAGTACAGATAGTTTGGTATTCGCGCATATCTGATCGCTCGTCAGATTAGAACTCACAATAATCGGGACTGCCACATATCCGATATTTCTCCGCGGTAGTCCACTAACGCACAGGTATTAATGAGAGCTAATGAGTGTCTGAGAGTTAATGAGTATTAGTGAGACCGCGGCGGAATAAATCTTTTACAAATCCCTTGCGTGTATGAGCAGCTATTGGAGGACGCTTATGTAAATAAAACTGCAATATAAATTTTAAATAAAATAAATATATATAATACATGTAACATTGAAAATGTTATATTCTGTCTCATTGACATTTTTTTCGTTTCAATTTATTGATGTGATGGCACGGTGCACTTAGAGTGAACTGTTAGGTATATTATTATTTATTACTCGTAATAATTAACTTTAGGCAGCATATCTGTTAAATCAGATTCACTGACTGAAGAAGAAACAGTCACGACAGAAGAACGAATACTTCCTTCGATTCCAAGTTCCTCGGTGCTTGGATTACTAGAAGAATCGTCAGCCTCATTTCTATTCGCACTTAAATTCTTATTGTTGAAACGAACTTGAACATCGAGCTTGCGTTCAGTTCGAAACTTGACATTTTTAGATGGTTTCTGTGAAACGGATCTTTGTTTCTCTTCCAGTATACCGATAACTGTCGGTCTGATGTCTCCATTTTCCGTAAACAAACCTATCGCTTTCAACATGTCTTTGTCTATAAGAGATCGATCTTTTTCGGTTAGCTCCAAAGGATGAAATTTGGCAGGTTTAATAGCTACATCGATTTCTAAAATAAGACAAAAAAAATAAAATTTTAATCAGAACAATTGCAACTTTCATTGTATGGTTTATTATTTAGTTTATCAGCAAAATTGGTAAGTATAACCATTCTTCATCTTTCGATTTCTGCCATACTGCTGGACCGAATTGATACTAAAAACGCAGAATTGTACGCAGAATTTATACGCAAAATTTGCTTAATTTTTTCTTTAATTTTTGTTATAGTACCTAAAATATTGGCTAGAACGCAAACTTTCGGAACTATAAGCAAAAATCTGAAAATAGACCAACAATTTTATTTACCATCTTTTGGTCTTCCTGAGTCGAGTGGCGGTCGAGCAACCATACTAAACTAGAATACTTATCTTATGCCGGGTCCAGACCAACCAGACAGAAACATTCATGTTTTATGACAAAATTGCGACAAATCCAATACATTTCTGCGACATTTTTGTCTCATTTTTTTATTGTTTTAAAATTCGGAGACTCTCACATTTTTTTGTTACGTAATTTTGTGCTAAATTTTATAATTCTAGGCAAAATATAACATAAACCAGCTTAAAACGTAACTGAAGAACCTAGAGGACTCCATCCGTAACCTAGAATGGAAATCCTCCAACGGTCACGAAAAAGTTCCAGTTTCTAACAGGGAGCCTCGTCAACGAACGCCTCAGTAGATTGAAGCTGAGAAACAACGGCGAATGCAGATTCAAGGGGGAAAATGGAGAAACATCACTGAGAAAACAAACCTTATCACTGAGTGCGCCGAGACGATTCGCAGACGATTCAATGTCCCGTCTCGAGTCGGTAAAGATCAAAATGTGCTGCCAACAGTAGGAGACCAGTGAAATCACACATGGTTAATAGGTAAAACTCATTCGCAACAACTAAACTTTTGACTTTGTTGTACTTTTGTCCTTGCATTGTGGACAATTTGTCTGAAGTTTGTCTTGTCAGAATTCCCCATTTTTTGTCGCAAGTTTGTCTTGTTTTGTCTCAAAATCGTGTATAATTTTTGTCGCCTTGGTCTGGACCCGGTATTACATGTCAACTGAACAAAATAAGACCATAATTAGCTTTCCAACACTTTTTTCCAACTGACCAGTCTAATAGATCTTATTTGGCTGACCTATTATAGTTGTTTCGTTTAAGAAAATCGTTACCATGACAAATATTCCAACTTCATAAGTACCAATCAGACTTTACCTACTTGCTAAATATCCAAAATTGTCATTATAACTCTGATTATAACGAGTTTTTTGAAATGAAACTATACTATACTACCATGCTATACTACTAATAGAATTACTAATTTTTAAATAATTCTACTTAAGAAACCGGAAGGTTTAGGTATAAGAACATGAAATATCGTTGAAAAGCTATTTTATTAGTCTTTTGGTTTTTTAATAATATAATAATATATAGGGTTCAATTTAAAATTAAAAAAAAAATTGAGCAATTTTATAATACACCAAAATAAATATTTTTTGCTCTCCCTGTTTAATATACAATCAGTTGATTTAGACAGATCGAATATATCGACTTTCTTTAACTTATAACCCAAATTTCAGTTTTTAAACTGTTCATTTCTTGAATTTACCTATACTTATTCAAGATCATGTTTTTGTCAATTTTACACGTGTTTTATTTTTTATCTCATAACCTATTCGAGATTGGTATAGGCTTGGTGCATTTCAGTTGATTTCAACAAATTCCGACCGCAGCGCACTCTACGGCAGAAATAAGAAATTATCAATATATAGTTCACGCCGTCATGTCGATCGCATTAAAATAATATTGAAATCGGGATTTTGTCATAATATTTAAGTATTTTAGTTTTTTGCCAGTGCAGTTATTAAGAATATAAAACACTCAGGTACGAGGTTTGTGTGATGTAACGCTGTTTCGGGTAATAAAAAATAATTCGAACTAGGCGTCTTGTTGTGTTGTGACAATTTCAAATGTTAATAAAATTGCCTAAAAAATGTTAACGCGTAAAAGAGAGCGTAATTAGGGCGTTGTTGGGTGCAATAACATTCAATAACTCAACTTTCCCGGATATTCAACTCTCCCGAAACAACATTTTATAGCTTCCTAATTTCTTACACCGATTTGATCAATAGCAAAAATGATTACTAGTGATTAAATGTTTTATGAACATCTTCTAAAATTTTAATTATGTACCTTTAAAAAATTTCGTTATAGCCGAAATAGCTCCAATTATCCCCACTAGCAAAACTGGTGATAAAACTATGCTCGCTATCGTAGTTGAACTCATCTATTTTTTTTTAACTGGAATAATAAATTATATTGCAAGTTAGACCTTCTGAAGATATCAAAATATTTACCTTTTTATTTCTTTGTTTAGAATAATTATTATATACCAATTTTTTTCGTTTACTCGCCATTTAAACCCGTGTATTTATATGTGTTCGTTATTTACGATATTCTCCGGCGGCGCCGGCGGTAACATCACCAGCGGAGGATGCCCCAAGCCTATGGTACTATCGTATAACGCTGAAAATATTTTAGATAGGTGGAGCAGGTGCCTTTATGTAAAAATACAAATTTTCAGAAAAAGGCTAAGACCGGTTTCTCCAAAAACATCTAACGTACCATCGCCGTGAATCACCCTATATATTCTATATTATAATATTTGTTCCTGTTTATTTAAAAATTAAATATTGCGTGCCAGGTATTTCTTTATATAAACTGCATCTGTTAACATTTCTTTAATAGAATATTGTAATATTTAAATCATAGCATTTTAGAAAGAGGAGTACCTGTCAATGGCCTTTTGACTTGTGACTCGTTATCCTGTCTTGTCCACAGCACGTATCCATTTGTATTCAGATTTTCAAATTCTTCGTCATTCAAATTACCACTGTCACTAGAACTACCCATCTCGATATTCCAGTCTTCATCACGATTAGCTATCGCTCTATAATCACCAGCTTCTTGTATAATCTCCTTAGTACAGTTTTCTTTACAATTTTCGCAAAAACTATCGTGACTCATAAGATCCTGATGATAAATGTGCCTTTTAAGTCGATAATCTTCACTCGAAATCCTTATATTTCTACCGGAAATTCTCTTAAACATTTCGTTTACTTTCTGAGGACTTTGAGACACTTGATTCAACATCTTTTTATTTACATAGTTGAAAATCGTTTTAGGCATACTGTTGACCTTTTTGTGCTTAGTGCCCAGTTTATTGTATGTGTATTCCATAAGATTTAAGTTCGTGTTGATTTTTATTTCATCATCTTCAATATGGTCGATCGATTGGACATTATTATGTGTTAGATCTTCAGCATTAAGAGAAATAGATTCTTCATAAAATTGATTCGGTGATCTTTGAACTGTATTAGTAATTCTCAAGGGTTCGTATAAAGTATTACAGGTGTAATTGTTTGATTTACTCAGAACGTCTTTTTCCGATTTGACAAGTCTCATTGGAGTTAAAGCTACGAAAAAAAAACAAAAATAAAACACTGGTTATTGATATGTATAATATATAATCAAACTAGTATCGGTACATTTGAGTCAGAAACGCTATGACTATCATTATTATTGATATAATTAAAACGATGAAAATCTTACTAGTTCTTGAATTAGCTGTCATTTGATAATCATCTATAACTTCTTTGATTTCACTCTTATCTAAGTTTTCGTTTTCGTTAGTTTGCTTAAGTGTATCATCGGTTGGGCCATCACCCACGCTATTTACGTATAATAATTGAACATCTGATTTTTTCTTTTCATTTCCTGCAGATACGCCATCACCAGCAGTATCTTCCAGTTTTGCCTCAACTTCCCAGCTTGAAGGAATGCTGGTGACTTTATTCACTTGACGCTTCTTTATCACTTGGTCTCTGTTTTGAGTTACTAACAGTTCGAAAATCTTGAAATAATCCGGCACTTCTGGAATTTTGAATTCGGCATCTAAAACAACTTCATCTGCAACCATGTTCTTTTCTAAAGCTTTGTTCATGTTGTCGTGAAATGCGTTCATAAACAATAATGTTTTAGAATAGATTTCCTTGTTTTCCTTCATGGAAGTGGGCTCGAATTTGAACAAACTCAGCTCATTAAAGTCTGGCAACGATTCGGTTTGACTGGCCACTGATAATTTTCTGTTATTTGATTGTTTAACATTTTGCGATACCATCGATTGGTGTTTGGTTAAATACGATCCTGAATTTTTCTTTTGGGACTGCATGATTTTGGATAATAAACTTATGTCAAAAATGTTCGGATCTTTCAAACTTTATTGACAAGAAAAAATAACCATAATAATATATCAGGATATCCCGAAATATAATAAGCTTTAAATAGATTGAGTAAGATTATTGAGATGGCGCACTGTGGTCAATTTTGTCAAATTAGCCGGAAAAAAATATTAGTGAAAATTACTTAACTTTGATTAATAACTATATCCGATTTTATATGTTAGGTATCATAAAATTACATTAATAATATAATTAATAAGAACAGGTCGTATACAGGGTGTATAAAAAATAAAAACTTGGAAAAGTTTCGTTATTTTTTATTTTAAATAGATTTTGGTCGCGATCATTTGCATATGTTAGATATTTAAAAATTATCATATTATAAGAATAATACTATGGATCTTACAGATTTTGCTAACAGTTGCTTTTAAAAAGTCAACAACCTCCAAGCGTTTAATATGGGCAATACGTCCTAAAAAATGGTCTGGACTTAACAGACGGACTAGGACGGTAAATTTGTAGGTTTGATAAAGTTGTCTCATGGTTTAACCTAAGGGTTTAACTATCAACTTAACTTTATTTAAAACTGAAACCTCATAAGACTTTTTTCTGCTAGTTCATTAAAAAAATGTATATTCTAATAATTTTAAAAAAATCTAACCATATCAAAATTATTTACTCATATTTAATACTCAACAGAAGAACATTAATGTCAAAAAACTTACCAACAACAATATTGCTCTTTCCATTTTAGATAGTATTAATGACATATAACTTTTTGCACGGAATACGCAAATTAAAAAAATTATTCAGGTGCAAATAACAAGATTATTTAATTTAATTCGTCAACTATACTACTATTTTCAATCAAAATAACAGTAAATTCGCAACGACCTTTGACATATTTGTTAATGAAATGTTCTTAGCAACTATTTCAAAGCTTACTTATGGAATTTTTGACGCCGCTTAGCCTAATCAGATTTTTTAATATTTTCCTGTTAATTTTTAAAAATTGACCACAGTGTGGCGTCAAATTTTGATCAAAAAATGAAATGCCTTAATGTAATAAATAAATAAAAATAAGTAGTTTTAAATAAGTGTTTAAATTGATGATTTTAAATACCAGAGTCATACCATGTAGAATGTTTAGAAGAGTGGTTAATCATCGCGACCTTACAGATCTATGGTGTGTTCTCCTTTCTGAGTTATAACGAGTTATAACCTTGATCATCATACAGTCTCAGGGTTTTGACAAAAGCCAATATCTGAGACATCTTGGCGCACTTAGTGATAAGGTGTTCTGGTGGTTCCCCATTTTCTTGGCAGAATCTGCATTCGCCGATATAAATAATGCCTTTATTGTCAAAAAAATTGATCGCAGACTTTCAATTTAGACTCAAACTAATATCGGAGAAAAGAACAACAACACAGAGACATTATAACATTGATAGACTGAGGGAACCAGCAGTTTCAGACAGAATGAAATTCGAATTAACAGAACTATGGGCAAGTGATAACAACAACCCCGGACTTAACGATAGTCCAGATGACATATGGAACAACATAAAACGAAACATTCTGACTGTTTCCAACGCTTTTCTGACACCAACAACAACAAAGAAAAACAAACCATGGATGACCGATGAGATACTCTCCCTCATGCAGGACAGAAGAATTGCAAAAGTCGAACAACAACAACAAAGATACACCGAAATAAATAAAACTATTAAACAACAATGCCAACAAGCTAAAGGGAACTGGGTAACTGCAGAATGCCAAGAGGCGGAACGCATGCATGCTCTGCACGACTCTGTAAATTTTCATAGAAAACTCAAACAAATTACTGGCATCACAAAAAAAGCACCAATACCTGCCCTAAAACACAATGGGAAATTGATTTTAGACCCGGTAGATCTGTGCAGCACATGGAAAAGCTATGCACAATTATTATTTGAAGACCAAAGAGAAGACAGACAACCTCTCAATTGTGAAGACTGGTCGGGCCCGGAAATTCTTGAATCTGAAGTTCAGCATGCTATGAAAGCTATGAAAATCGAAAAGCCCCGGTCATGACAACGTGCATGCAGAAGTTCTTAAAATATTTGACTCAAAGCATCTCACATATCTATTCAATCGAATATACGATACGGGTAAAATTCCAAACGACTGGCTAAAATCAACTTTTATAACAATTCCCAAAAAGGCATCTCCAAAAGACTGTAGTGACTACAGACTTATAAGTCTAATGAGTCATGCTCTGAAACTTTTTCTTCGAGTATGCACTTTCGAGTATATACGAGCATGCTCGTATATACTCGAAATATTAACAAAAATTTATCCACAGACACCTTCAATGTGTGTCAAGGAGTCCGCCAGGGCTGTATACTGTCACCAATACTTTTTAATATATACGTCGAAAAGATATTTCAAATGGCCCTGGAAGAAGAAAGTGAGAACTCGAGTTCCAATTAACAATATAAGATATGCAGATGATACGGCAATACTAGCACCAACTTTAGAGGATCTCCAGCAAATAATAAATAAGATAGGGGACATGGGAAATCGTTTCGGTCTTAAAATCAACGCTGCTAAGACCAAACTTATGGTAATAGGACGCCAGCCTACAATCAACATCGCATTGACCGTGGATGGAAATATTATAGAGCGAGTTCCACGATTTAAATATCTGAGTGCCATGATCAATGAACGATGGGACTGCGATGAGGAAATTAAACTTAGAACGAATTATGCAAAGTCAACATTTCTTAAACTTAAAAACTTCCTATTAGCACGCAGTCTCCCGCTAACACTTAGACTACGGGTAGTAAAATGCTACATATGGCCTATCTTACTATACGGCGCAGAAACCTGGTCTCTCAAGGCTAGAACCCTGAACCGCATCGAGGCTTTCGAAATGTGGACTCTCCGGAGACTCTTACGTGTGCCATTTTAGAATTTAGAATTTAGAATGAGTTCGAGGGGGGTTAATCACTTCGACCTTACAGATCCATTGTGTCCCCCTTTCTTGAATCATAACTTATCATACAGTCCCAGGGCTTTGACAAAAGCCAGTATCTGGGACGGTTTTATAGAGGGTAGTTCTCCATCTCCAATATCAGTCGTAACAAAATTCATGGCACGAATGGTTGTCGTCTCGGCGCACTCAGTGATGAGGTGTACTGGTGTTTCCCCATCTTCCCCACAGAATCTGCATTCGCCGTTTCTTCTTAGTTTCAATCTACTGAGGTGTTCGTTGAGGAGACAGTGTCCTGTTAAAAACCCCGTGACAATCCGAAGATTGTTCTTACTCAGACCCAGGAAGATCTGTGATTTTTCTTCATCATAAGCCCTCAGAAACTTCTTCGAGTGTCTTAGACCATTGGAAAATTTCCATTCCAGGTTGCGGATGGAATCTTCCAAGTTCTTGAGTTCCGCCTTGAGTTGGTTACCACTTGGAAAGCAGAACGGTTCTGGTTCAGTTAGTGGAGTGTTCGCTGCTTTCCTAGCTAGATTATTTGCTTTTTCATTGCCTTCTATCCCTTGGTGAGCAGGCACCCAGTGTAGGAGGACTTTGTTTTCTTTGCCTAATTTATTCAGCTTCTCTATGCATTCTTTGACCAATTTCGAATTGATTGATACTGAGTTGATCGCCTTTAACGCTGCTTGACTATCGACAAGATGGCTATTTCTTGTTTCCGATAGTTCCTATCGAAGATAAGTTGTACGCATCTTTCGATAGCGTAGATTTCTGCCTGTAGGATACTAGGGTAAGTGCCCATTGGTTCGGAGTATTTAGCTTTCGGCCCAAACACTCCGATCCCTATTCCCGTATTGGTTTTGGAAGCATCAGTATACCAAGTTATGGTATGGTTTTTTAACTGCTGGGCAAGCGTTTCGCTCTTCCAATCCTTTTTATTGCTCAATACTACATTGAGATGTTTCTCAAAGTTGTACGTTCTTGGCATATCGTCCACTGGGAGTTGCAGGGTGGTATTTCCTTTATGAGGGTGTTCCAAGCCCCTGATCTGACAATTCTCCCAGTACTAATTCCGTTAGTGACCATTCTAATCAATGTCGCATTGGCATATCTACCAATGACAATGTGCAGTGGTGTTAGATCTAGAATGACCTCCATTGCTGCTGTTGGACAGGTTCTCATGGCTCCTGTGATGCAAACGCATGTTAGTCTCTGGACTTTGCATAGGTTTAGCCTTGCCGTCCGTTGCTCTAGTTTTGTGTACCAGGCAACTGCTCCATAAGTAATCATGGGTCTTACTATCATGGTATACATCCAGCGCAAAATGTTAGGGAAGCAGCCCCATCTATTTCCGGCCATCTTCTGCATATCATGAGAGCCTTTATGGCTTTGCTGGTAGTGTTCTTAATATGCCTGTTCCACAGGAGTTTACTGTCCAGGGTTATTCCCAGGTATTTAACTTCCTGTGTTGGCAGTATTTCCTTTCCATCTAGTTGGATTCTTTTCAAGGTTTTCAGACTTCGCCTTCTGGTGAATGGCACTATCGCGGTTTTTTCTGAGTTGATACTCAGCCCGACAGTCCTACACCATCTCTCAGTGATACGGAGTCCTCTTTGGATAATATCACACAAGGTGCCTGCATGTTTCCCCCGAGCGATCATGATATGTCATCTGCATACCCAATGCAGTGTATTCCCGCTAGAGTTAATTCATCTAGTAGTTCATCCACCACCAAGCTCCACAGCAAAGGGGAGGTTACTCCACCTTGTGGAGTTCCTTGCGTTGTTTTAACAGCTACAGTTTTGGTGCCCATCTGAGCCTCTGCTGTTCGTGTTGACAGCATTTCCCAAAACCAGCGAATAATAGTTCTGTTCACCCCTCTTGTTTCTAGAGATCGCCTGACCACCTTATGTGGTATATTGTCAAACGCCCCCGCAATATCCAAGAAGGCACAAATTGCTGTTTCTTTGCTATCCAGACTTGTCTGTATTAGCTCCGTTAATTGGTACAGAGCAGTTTCTGTGGATCTGCCCGTTCTATATGCATGCTGACTATCATGCAGTGGTTTAACCTTTAGATGA